CGTTTTCTACTGAAGTGACACAAAAAAATAAGAAAGCCAGTGTGTTGGAAAAAATGTTTACATGTCTTGATCGTTCTGCATTGAACAACTTTTAGATTAATACACAAGAATTTGACTGAAAATGCAAATAAAAGATGAGAAGTTCTGTGTTTCTTGACCAAAGTTATAAAGATTTAAATATGTAGTATTTGCAACATGACAGTTATTACAAGTATATTGATTAGGATGAACAGAAATACTGGTTTTTGATTGTTTATTACATAATGCGGCAACGAGTATTACAAAATGCGTTGAAGACTTTTATTACATTTTGAAGTCAGATTTTATTACATTATTACATACTACGTTGTTATTACAAAATGAGGTCTTACAGAGTGCAACAGCCTACAGGGTGCAGCARGGCAGACCCAAATATCCAAGACCAGTAAGATGTTGTCTGGCAAGWGAAAACAGCTAGTTTGGAGCATCAAGAAGAAGTTACACTGATTTAAAGGGTCTTGAAGCCAGTCTGGATTCCAGTCAGCTGGGTCCAAATGATGAAAAAAGTTGTGTTGAGTATCTGACTAATTACCTCACATGTCCAACAATCCTAAACCAAGATGACAAGGGCCTACCACTTTGAAAGAGGCTCATCGTAGATAGGATCATGGTAAGGTGTGGTCACAGAGTGTCATTAGAAGCTGAAGCAAATACTAGTGAACAGGTTGTGTCCTGGCTCCAGGGTGAGGCTCCAGTAACCCACATCCAGGCAAGAGACCCTGAGCTTCTCAGTTCTGTCTGTCCATCCAAGTATTGTGAATCCTTCTTTGTCTGGGCTTGGCTGTCACCTAGGGGCATGGCATTGAATGAAAAAATGAATGGTTTTTAAACTGCTGGTATAATGGACTGATTTTTGACAAGGCTTCCACATAAGGATTAAAGGTGTCATTTATGCTCAACAAACCTTCAATTTCTTTTCCTCTCAGGAAGTTGTTCAAGTTTTTTAATCCATTTTGCACAGAGAAGCATTTTTGAGAGATTTATTGATAATGTTTAATATTGTCACACAGTGAAACCTGTTACACTTAAAATAGTGACACTCAGAAATTGTCTTATAATCAAAAGGGCAGAAAAAGTTTGGGAACCACTGATTATTGAAAGTAATACAGATGATCCATTTCCATTTAAACAAAAAAAAAACCKWWAWT